CTCCGGCAAATATTCGTGGGCAGATTCCCATGGAAATCTCTTCTCCCAAGGCAGCTCCTCCGGTGGCTCGGGGACATCGCGGCCATTGCATCGCAGCCAGCAGCACTGCCTGGGGAAAAGCTGCTTCCCCAGCTGCCCGGCACTGGCAAGTTCAGCTGAAAATCCAAAAGTCAGGAGGGGAGGAAGAGATTTCAAGAAGAGAGACACAACCGCGGCCCTCTTGTTACGCAGGAGGATGGATTGAAACGGAGGGTTCTGTTCTCCCTCAAGCACAGCACTGACCACCGAGACGGGACAGAGGAGTGCACGTTGCTGGTTTTTGCATGAGGCTGAAGCTACACAAGCAAGCCCAGGACCCAGGGCTCCGCGGCAGCACCAAGCACAAGAGATCAGAAAGATATTTTACTGTATCGCTTCACTAATTTTAGAAGGAACCCAACATCACAAATCTAATTCTGTGTTTGAATCAAAGATTTAGGGCAAGCAAACAGCATCAGCCACCCCGAGCCCTGTGTTTGCCCCGCTTCGCTCAGCCTCGGCGCAGGGATTTCACACCAACCTTCCTCCAGATGCAGCACGAGGAACCGGTCCTGCCCCGGCTCCACCACGTGCGCATGGATGCGCTTCAGGGGATGGAGAGCAGCACCCGTCTCCCCGCCTGGGCAGAGCCCGAAGGTCTCAAGATAGTTTTCGTCCCAGCTGGTGCGTTGTCTCAACAGCTTGATGAAGCTGCTTTCATAGTGGGTGAGAACACCCACGACTTCCAGGTGCCTGGGGGTCAGCCCGTCCTGGTCCATTTTCACCCTGCACACGGGCCCTTCCAGCCCCCCGAGCGGCCACGGGTGCAGGCTGGAGCTGGACCAGGAGATGCCCCCATCCTCAGCCATCCCCGGGAGGCATTTTGCTCCTGGGTCAGGCTTCGAAAAGAGGCGAGCAGCAGCAGCCATCCTTGATCTTGCTGCCGAGCTGGATCTCACCCTTTCCTGTAAACTTGAGTTGTCTCGCTTTCTCTCCTCTGCTTCAAGTCCCAGCTCCTCCGGCAGGCTCAGCTCCAGCCGGTCAATTGGGGAAAGCCTTTCCCCCGTGCTCCCCTTTCTTGGAAGTGCTGCAGAGGGGAGCAACAGCACCAGGCACGGCAAAAGCACCCTAAGAGCAGCCTTCATGTTCCTGCTTCAGCTGCTCCCAACGCAGTTGTCGGAGCCGCTCACACGCATCCCAAAACCCTCGGGCGGAAGGGGAGGACGGCGTCTCCCTTTTAAAAAGCGGTGGCCTTGAGTTGACAATGCACAACACACCTCCCTTGAGAAACTCAAAGGCTGTCATGCTAGAGAGGAGGGAGGGACGTTTCAAAGAAACTTTTTTGTTCTATTTTTGGGTTTGCATCTACTATTGGAAACGTAAAAAAATTAAAGTTGTTTCTCTTACTCATAGGGATGCATGTCCTTGACTTCAGATGTTTTCCAGAGGAGGATGGACGTCCAGACTCGGATCTTCACGAGGACTGGCACATTCTATTTCCATCAGCAGTGAAACACCAGGAGGGAAGAATTAGCCAAACTAGGAGGAGAGGGACAGAGACAGATAAAGGGCAGAAGCTAAGTAAATGCATGGAAAGCCTCCCCCCTCGGCGGGCACCTCGCACGCTGCAGTTTAGGGAGGCTGCTCGGCAGGGGCTCTTAACGCCTCTCCTGAGCCCCAGGCGGCTTCCACCTGGGACGGAGAATTCCGTGGGGCGCAGCAGCAGCCTGATGGCTTGCACACTTAAGCCTTGACTTCGAAAGTCTCACAACACACGTATCATACAGACTTTCCGCTCTATGAGATGCCAATGCTAACGGTAACACTTGGAATTACCAATGCCACCTACCTAATCCACCCCAGAGAAACCTCCCCCCCCACCCAAGGTATCTCCTTTTTTCGGCAACTGAGGGCAAGGGGAAATGAACCGCAAAAAAGTTCCAGCACACGTTCAGACCCTTCTCTGGGTCTCCAAGACTTTGCAGTTCAGAGCTCAGGATCTGGCTACGGCACATCATAAACGGACTGCGCACCCAAACCGGGGAGGGACGAAGGGCGTAACACCGAGGGGCTGGTGAAGGCGGACCGCTCTGCTGCAGGGGCTACGACAAAGGACACGCACCCGGCAATGGGGAGACCCACACAAGCCGATCCAGGCACGGGGCCAGCTCAGCTTGAGACAAAGCGCTTCCAGCCCGGCAGTAAAGCCGGCGAGGGTTGGACACACTCTGGGTGGGACTGAGCGGGACCCGCATCAGGTCGGCAGAAAAGGTGATGATGCCGATTCCTCCATCAAAGGGGCACGCAGCTGCAGGGCTGTGGCAAGCACAGCCTCCCCCGTGGCCCGTGAAACGAGCCAGGCACTGGCCAAGAGCAAGCCCAGGTCAGGCAGCCCGGCCCCTCACGACACCTCTACCCACCGAGCACCCTGGTATCCTGCGCGAGTGAAACGAATCCTGGAAAGGACAGGGAGAGGAAATCTCAGAACTTCTACTTTTTAATAGGAACCAAATGACTGTTTGAAGGAAACATTTAGTATAAATAAAACCACAGCGAACTAAAAGCTTGCCAAAACAAGGCTGCTAGTGGGAGGATATATACAACAAAAATCATACATGACAGCAGGTGCTTCATAATCGTACAGACAACATTTAGTGAAACCTAATAATAAACTAAGATTTAATATCACTGCAGCTTCGGTAATTTCTGTTGACTAAACATTCCCTGAGATCCCTGCCACCACCACAGACGCTTTCTTTGTGAACTCGTGTTTGGCATAAACAGCCAGGAGCTCGGCAGCTGGGTACCAGGGAAGGAAGATTCTTCCCTAAATTGTCAGCAAAATCTTGCCTGGCGCTTTTTAAGGTCTCCTCAACAGCAGTCCAAACTGATTTCCTCAGCAGGGACATTTCCAGCTTTTAGCCGGCAACACCTCAGCTACAGTACAGCACTCTGGCACCAGGAGAAAGGTTTCCAAATGCAGCG